GAATTATTTACATACAGATAGATGTACATGTTTCTGTCTAGGATCAGAATATATGTGCATTTGCTTGATACAATTAACTCTATTGTCGCACATTATTTTACAATCCAAAAAGAAGTCTGCTTTTTAAATCGGTAAAACTACTGAAAGGAAGCTAACATGAAACATTAAACTAAGTAAATAAAACCAATAATAACACAATGCATTACCGGTCTCACGGTAAGTCAAGTGAGTCTATTTTCCCAAAACAACAGAATATCTTATTTCTTAAAATAGGGAAAATTAGGACCATGATTATGGAAACATAATAAAAGTCACAATTTGTAATTATACGATTATTTGTTTGTGTGTGTGTGTGTGTGTGTGTGTGTGTGTGTGTGTGTGTGTGTGTGTGTGTGTGTGTGTGTATATATTAGTGTGTAGTTTGTGTGTGTCTATGCATGTAAGGTTAACTTGCATACATTTCAAGACCGACAGTTTTGCTTGAAAGGAGGAGGTTGGGTGGTTGGTTGAGTAACGTAAACATATTCTGACTGCTGCAAAGATTTCATTTCAGCGGATCCAGGTGGCTTACCTATAATTACGAACAGTTATCTCCTATTTAAATCTCCTTATGATTACTTGAAAGACACGCCCAAGTGAAATTTTTTTTTTTTTTACCTAACTTCACAAGGGCCATGTTATTTGATTTCTCAAATATACTCAATGAACTGATAAAATAAATCATCAAATGTTTCAAGAATAAAGAACCAATTCTGAAAATATAATGGATTACTATAAACACACTGTTGTATTAGATGGTAATCCATGGAAAGAGAGTTCAATCCTAAGAGAATCCTTGTGTAGATTTCTTTTATATATATATATATATATATATATATATATATATATATATATATATAAATGAAATGAGAATGGATCAAATATAAATTCAAACATTCAAAACATTAATTTAAAATAGGGCTCAATACAATAGTAGAGCAATATTCTTTATTATAGGATACTATATTCAAACATATGTAAGCTCACTACATAACTCTGATTCAATCATGTTTCGATGTGTATCATCACATCTCATCAGGTGTCAGTAATTGACTAGCCATACACATCAAAGCATGAATGCATTTATGTAGCGGTTTATACACGTCTGAATGTAATATCCTATAATAAAGAATTTTGCTTGACTATTGAATTGTATTGAGCCCTATTTTAAATTAATGTTATGAGTGTTTGAATTTATATTTGATTATGTTTGAATGTAACCATCATTTCCCACTGCCTGATGAGATGTAATGATATACATTAAAGCATGAATGCATTTATGTAGCGTGTAATATCCTATAATAAAGAATATATATATATATATATATATATATACATACATATTATAAAGTGAACATTGAAGTCAACACTCAGAGGCAACAGGCTGTTTCATGCTGGATGCAATCGTCAGGCTGCAAATGCTGTTTTTTTTTACATATATGGGTCAGTGGTGTATTGTGGGTAATCTATTTTGGTGGTTATATTTATGGGAGTTGCTTCTTTGTTTATTTATTTATTTGTTTGGGTTAATATATTTTACTTTTTTTTCATTTTCATTTTGTATTATTTATTCTTTTCATTTTTTTTAATGTTTTATTAACATAGTAAAAAATTTTGGAGGGGTATTTGCTTAGGTCGCTTGTTTAATAGTTTGTTTTGATCTGGGAAGATCATTAAATCTATTTATTCATCCAGTGTTTAGTTTGCTTGCCGTAGTCTATTCTGTTATTTTGGAGGGTGAACAGTTTTTAATTTATTTATTTGGATTGATCATTTTTACTTGTTTTTGATTATTTATGCTTATTTTTATTAGTTCTAACAGTTATTTTAGCAGGGACAATTTGTTAATTTGTTCATTTATTTATATATATATTTTTATTAGTTTTTTTATTTTGTATATTTTTATTTATTCTATTTGGTTTTTGATTTTTGAGAAACGTAGTGATGTTTTTTTTTCTGTTTTTTTATCGATATATAGCAGTTATTGCTATTTTTACGTCCAATTTTTGGATTGGTTGTTGTAGTCTATTCTGATGGTTATTTTGGTGGGATTCATTTGTTAATTTGTTTATTTTTATTTACTTTATTTACTTATTTGGGTTGATTGTTTTTACTTGTTTTTTTACGTATTTTATTTTTATTTATTCTATTTTGTCTATTCTAACAGGAGTGGTTTCTTAATTTGTTTATTTGTTTGGGTTGTTTTACTTGTTTTCTATGTTATTTTGTTTATTTGTATTTATTCATTTCAGTTTTCGATTTTAAAGTAACATAGTAAAAATTTGTTTTCATCTCTGCATTTTGAGATGTCCTCATATCATTTATTTAGTAATTTTTTTCGTCTGAGAAGGTAATAATAGCTATTTTTTCCTCCAAGCAAAGTTTGTAGGTTTTTGATTGCTTGTAATTGGCTGATGATCTTTTCCTTATTTTCCATAATATTTTTGGTGTGATTTGTGTTTTGTTTTTATTTTTCCAGATGTACTTGGAAAGCATTGTACTGTTCACATATTTACTATTTATGAAAGATTTTTGTGTGCATAGTTTCTTTGTTTCCAGGGTCCTTCAGTTACTCCTATGCATACTTTTTCTTCATTATCTGGTGATGTTTACCGTGGCTTGGTATATTACGTTGTGTTGTAAGCAATTACCGTTTAGGGGACATTCATTCTTTATTCCACAGTTACACATGGGTTTAATTTGTTCGAATAGTTTGTTGATAGTTTTCCTGTTGTGTTTTTTTATTATTTGTGCCATGTTCTCAGTGCAACTGTAGCTGATTTTTAAAATCTTTTTATTGAATATTATGTGTAGAGTGCTTGATTCCAGGAAGTGTTTGTTTAGGAGTTTGAAGAATATTTTACCTAGGTTTGTTTTTATGTTTTTGCTGTACGGTGGATTGAACCATATGATATTTCTCTTCCTGTTGGCCTTTCTTGTGCTCTGTGGTGAGTATGTATGTGAATCCACTATCTTTTAGGGCTGCTTCATAGTCTTTCTTAGCTTTGTTAAATATGGTTTATTGTAAGAATTGTTGGAAAGTTCTGTGTTTAATATATATATATATATATATATATATATATATATATATATACATATACATACCCAAGTACAGGGTTGGTACAGATGGATAAATTTGAATTTTGAAATCCTGAATAATTTTCTAATAATATTAAGCTTGATGCTTGATCAAATTTAGAATTTGACATTTGTAACTTTTAATTTTTAATTTAAGTGTGTAATTAAAACTTATTTGTTATATTGATTTCTAATTTAATCTAATCTTAGTTTTAATGCACTAATTGATTGTACTTAGGGTATATTTTCAAGTTATTTTGAATTACCACATAATTGTATTTTGATTGGTCATCATAGATTGTGTAACAATGTTTCCCCTACTGAGGGGGTTTGGTTGGATTTTGAACTCTTAAAATTCTTTTGTATTGCAATCAACATCATTACTTGATAAGACACCAGTAGTGTTGAATTTAATCTGAAATGTGTCAGACAAAAAACTTTTTCCACTTTGTCATATATTTTTTCCCCAATATTGTTGTTAATCTTGTGTCTGTACAAAACTGAGTAAGAAAAATGCTGTAATTATTCTTATAGATTTTATTTTCCCAAGTACTTTCAATCTCATCCAAGATCATCTTCAGGGATGAATTGCTAAGGCAAAGAATTAATGTAAGTTATGAATATATGGGAGCATGAACACTGTAAAATTAAAAAAATTTACAGTTATGTGAGGGAGGTAACTTAATTTATGTAAATTCTTATTAAAAATTGTAATTATGTGTTTTAAAATATTATTTTAATTGTAGTTTAACAATTATAATTTAGATATTTTAAAATATTGCATAAACATTTTATAACTTTGTTGCTATACTCATAATTGATTTTTGGCCATAATATTTTATGTAAATTGAAATTTTTGTTTTTTTTTAATTTATATTTTTCTTTGAGAGCCATATTCTACAATTATGATATATATTTTGTTTCTTCTGTTTTAATTTTAACTTTGATTCTCCAGTAGGATGTTGATAATACCAGTGGCTGAACATCTGGATAACAACAAAGGAATATATAATTATGCTTTTACTTAAAATCAGAAAAAGAAAGTTGAAATTTCTAGGGCACCTAATGAGGAACAAAGGCTTGGAGAATTTGACACTCACAGGACAACGGAAATCAGTTAATTACCCAACTAACAAGCTTGTGTAAGAAGTTGGCAGAACATGGATTTATTCTTCTTTTATTTGCCATGCGACTTTAGTATGTAGGCGATCATGGCTCTCCATATCTTCCTGTCCCTTGTTTTGTTGTTTTGTTATTTCTCCCAAAACCTGATCTGCCATCCATTTGCTGAAGCCCATGAAGTATGTAATGCACTGCTTTCTTCTGTCCCTCTTTTCCTCAATCTCTCCTGTGAGTATCAGGTTTTCCAGGCCCTCTTTCCTCATTACATACCCCAGAAATTTCAACTGCCTCTTCCTGATGTTAAGTTTAAGTTTCCTTTTCTAAAACCTCATTGTCCCTCACATGTTTGGTCCATGGTATCCTTAGCATCTTTCTGTAGACCAACATTACTGCTGCTTCAGGTCTCTTCTTCATTTTTGAAGAAATTATCCAGCATTCACTACCATAAGAGCTAAAAAAAGGAGTTGTGGTGAAACATGCTCACCCATGTCCTGAAGAAGAAGTTCTGTGTTATAAGTAAAAATGGAAGAAGTTCTGTGTTATAAGTAAAAATAAAAAAAAAAAATAAATGCATTATAAAAAATATAATAATATAGTGGAATTTCTGTCAGCAGATATAAGCAGGTTTTTTTCTTTCATATTCATTCAGACAGATTATTAGAATTTTGTGAACGTGAATGTTCAGATTATATGCTTATAAAATATTGGTATTTTGTGAATGCGAATGTTTAGGCTGTACACTTATTAAAATAATCTGGCTTACAGCCACATCATGTTGAAATACCAGTTCCTGTACATTCACCAAAGTTAAGCAACACTGAGCCTGGTCAGTACTTAGATGAGTGACTATTTGGGAATACTAGTTATTGTACGCATGGATGTGTAGATGGTGCAATGTATAATGGCTTGGAATTGTTAATCGTGGAGCTGAATTCCAATTCTGGTTGGGTTCGTTACATTCACTTACACACAAATACCCTTGGGAAAGGTATGAATTCACTGCTTCTTCCCCCCTGCTATGGGTTAATTAGTAAGAATAGTATCACTAAACAATTATTATCTCAAAAATAAAATTCAGCAAACTTGGACCTTTGTGCCTACAAAAGCACAGTGTCAAAATGATGGTTTCCCTTTGACACTGATTATTTTAATTACTTTCCCTCCCTTGGTAATATTTATTCTTTTAAAAACCTACAAGTAGGATTTTAATAAAACCTAAACATATGATAGTGAATTTATACATTTTCTTTGTTCTTGAGAAATGGCAACAAAAATAATAAACACTATTTATTTATTAGATTGTTTATTTCCATTATTTATTTATTTATTAGATTGTTTATTTACATTATGGTTATGGAGTGATTTCACAGTGGAGGCTTGTATTTGTACGAAGTCAATCCTAAAAAAGGTTCGACGTACAAAACGTTAGGAACTTCATATAATAGGTATGACGCAGAGTAAATCTAGTGGTGGTCGCTGATAGTATTTGACTAACGGTCGTCCGGCATTGACTGACTGACTGAACCCCTGAGCGACTCCTCGTTACTCTTATTACTCCTACTTATTATAGGTGGGAGAGTCTATTAACTATAGAATAGGTGTGTTCCACTATAACAATTATTCATTTATTAGATTGTTTATTTACATTATTTATTTATTAGATTGTTTATTGGAATGGTTGGGAAAACATTGGCTAATCAATTTGAACATAATAAAATAGTAAATAATTTATAATTGGTTCACATATTTTAATAATATAGTAAATGTTTATAAATCTATAATAAAAAAATTTTCATATTTATTTCTTCATAAATCAGTAATTGATAAATATTACATTGCATTAGTTTTAATTGAATTAGTATTGAAAATGTTGTAAATATAATGATACTATTCATGTAAATAAACACTCATAAATAAAGTGTTTTATATTTTTGTTGTAAGTTTTCGAGAACAAAAAATGCATAAATTCATTTTCATCATATGTTTAGTTTTGATTAAATTTCTAATCATTGCTTTTTAAAACAATAAATGTTGAACTTAGTTAAAATAATAGTGGTGTCAAGGGAAAAACATCTGTTTTTTTTTTTTTTTGCATGCATGAAGATCTTAGCTTGCCCTCAGTTCTTACAATCTAAAAATATTTTCTGGCTTTAAATAACCTGCAAAGGGTTAATAAACCATAGAAAAGGAATCAATCAATCATTAAAATAAAACCATAAGATAAAATTTTCAATAAATCTGTACACTTACGTCAAAGCGAAATATGAATAAAAATCAATGTTTTAAGTGTGCATTCATTGTAAAGTACATTGTATAACATGAATAATTATTTTATATTTAATGATTCACACCATGTGCACAATCTACAATTTCATTTCTAATGTATTGTAATGAATCACTGTGTTTCCCTTTGTATCACATTGTTGAGATGTCAGTTCTACTCAAACAGCTTCTTCGTGGAACCAACTCCCAAGAGGATGCTTCCCTGATCACTATAATGTTAACCTTTTTAATTCTAGGGTTTACCGTTATCTGTCCTACATATCCCCATAAACTGTACCTCTTACTCTGTAACCCTCTACATTGAGTGGCTTTTGAGCATTGTACAGGGTGAACATTAATGTAAAAAAATCTAATAAAACCTGATTATGCTTACACGTTTGATAACAAGACAGATGTCTGAAGAGAAACACAACTCATAAAAATATGACAACAGATTGGGAGTGTTGCATTCCCTGCCTCCCAAGAAGAAGATCGAGTCTTTCTAGCTGTTTAACAGATTACAACAAAGAAGGTTACACACAGCAACAGAACCTACATTTAACATAATTACAGAAGATTACTTACATTAAAAATACAAGATGAAGTAATCAGTGTGTTTTTTGCTTTTCAACTAGACAGATTAAATACTAGCAGAAAACTTCTGTTTTATTAATACAAAAAGTAGAAACATTGAATGCTTGAAATGTAATAATGTTTATATCTATGTTAACATGCAATAATGTTCATAGCTATTTTCAAATGTAATAATGTTTATATCTATGTTAACATGCAATAATGTTCATAGCTATTTTCAAATGTACTAATGTTCATATCTATGTACAAATGTACTAATGTTCGTATGTATGTTCAGATGTACTAATGTTCATATGTAATAATGTTCATACCTGTATTGAAATGTAATACTGTTCATAGCTATGTTCAAATATAATAATGTTCATAGCTATGTTCAAATATAATAATGTTCATAGCTATGTTCAAATATAATAATGTTCATATCTATGTTCAAATGTACTAATGTTCATATCTATGTACAAATGTACTAATGTTCGTATGTATGTTCAGATGTACTAATGTTCATATGTAATAATGTTCATACCTGTATTGAAATGTAATAAATGTTCATAATTATGTTTTTGTGTTCAAATATAATAATGTTCATAGCTATGTTCAAATATAATAATGTTCATATCTATGTTCAAATGTACTAATGTTCATATCTATGTTCAAATGTACTAATGTTCATATCTATGTTCAGATGTAACAATGTTCATATCTGTGTTGAAATGTAACAATGTTCATAGCTATGTTAAGATGTAATAATGTTCATATCTCTGTTCAAATGTACTAATGTTATTTATGAACATAAAATATTTATCACTATATATAAGAATATAAAAATCTATAGAATAATGATAAAAAAGAATTTAAGAAGACATATTTTTCAACATAATCTCTTTCTTTGTCAATACAATTTCTTTTGTAAATATTAAACACATCAATAAAACATTATACAGTGAAACTTTCAAATCAAAATTGACTTCATCACTATATGCAGACTTATTGACCCCCCCTTTTCTAAATGCACACACATAGATTTGCATGTTTATAGAAGTACAGACGTCATACACACACACGCACACACACACACACACACGTATTCATGTATTTTTAGTATGTGTATTGAAAGTGAGCAATAGATAAATTTTTACTAATTTCTTTTACTTCCTGTAGTCTTTCTCAGCAGCCATCTTGATTCATTCCATCTGTGCACATTTAACAGCTATTTTATTTAGTTTGTTTTCTTCCCTTCCTGGCAGATGCACATTTGGTACCCAAGAAATAGTTGCAAGGTGCATACCCTCTTTAGCTCTTCTGGTGTACTTCACATGAACATTTTTCCTGACTTGTCAATTTTCAGAGGAAACAAGTAAAAGTCAAGTGAAGAACAAAATCCACTTGCTGTAGCCATCTTGCCCATTTAAGAGAGAATATTTTAAGAGCAACATTTCATGTCTTCGGGGCTGGTGCATACTGCCCTCAAACACCCCCAGCCCTCAAGCCTGATCAGGCCCTGGGAAGTGCTTTCTGACTCTCACTATCGTATCAAAATTTGCTTCTTTTTTTTTTACTTACATTTATATACTTTACAAATTAAACTAAGTACAACAAACTATTAAAGGATGAAAAAATTTTGTGGATTTTGAAGTCATTTTTGGGGTCATTTTTGTCCAAATCAGAGAATTTGTTTTGCTCATGCTAAGTCTCAAAAAAAAAACTATATAAAATTCACTGTGTTTTATCCATAATGTTGAAAGTGTTAAAATTATTTAACATTTTTAACAAGAAAAATCTCAAGTTGATGTTAAAAATTGCTGCAAAACATTGTCAATTTATTTCAGATGGAATGATCTATTATGACATGTCTCTAATTTGTATTTAGATACATTGTATTTATTTTCAATTTTTATAGTTGAATTGTCCACTTATTTTGCATATGATCCATTATTGTGCATAATTAGGTTACAATTAAATTTTATTTTATATGAATATTCCTTATAAAAATTAAGATGTAGTACAGTGGACAGCCACCCCGCTTCCCCGTATCATAGGTTGGGGTGCAGTGGCAAAAGGTAAATAAGGTAATAAAGAAATCTATTCATCATCTGTAATGAGATTGTCCAGCATTCACTTCCATAAAGAAGGATTGATATTACATAACAGTTCAGTACACTTTTCTTTGTTTCTCTTGCTTCAAGTCTCTTCTTCATCTGTGAGGAGATTGTCCAGCATTCACTTCCATAAAGAAGGATTGATATTATATAACAGTTCAGTACTCTTTCCTTTGTTTCTCTTGCTTCAAGTCTCTTCTTCATCTATGAGGAGATTGTTCAGCATTCACTTCCATAAAGAAGGATTGATATTACATAACAGTTCAGTACTCTTTCCTTTGTTTCTCTTGCTTCAAGTCTCTTCTTCATCTATGAGGAGATTGTCCAGCATTCACTTCCATAAAGAAGGATTGATATTACATAACAGTTCAGTACTCTTTCCTTTGTTTCTAATAAAAATTTTCTGTTTCTTAATACTTTGCTTAGCTTTTACTAAGTCTAAAAATAGGGAGGCATAATGATCATTTTCTCAACCAGAAGACACCTGATTACTTACCATTTGCAACTGCTATAACTTACAAGCCTGCATTACTGAAGTTAAATTTGTTTATCTACTATGTCATTCTTGCATTGCCAATTATCTTAATATTTCTGCAATATTCATTGCAGTGGATCATATAAGATGTGTTCATATTGGAATGACTTCAAAAGTATTTCCAAAAATATTTGGTCGGGTCGTGTGTCTGTTGCTAGTTGAAGAATGCTCTCTTCTGAGTGCATGAACTGTTGATTTTTTTTTTTTCTAAATGGTTTATGTGCATCTCTGAGAGTAGACGTGCGTCTTACAACAAAATGTAGGCAGGCTATTGACTCATTTCAGATTGGTCGTTTGATCTCTGCTTCTCAGATTTTAGCGAACAAAAAACATCAGCTATGTATTTGAAGTTTGCCTACTTAAATTGGAAATGAATGTTTCGAT